AAAAAAAAAAAAAAAAAAAAAAGTAAAACGACTCATAATCATTTTTACGGAGATTTCTTACAATGAAAATTCTCAGTTTTTCCCTAAAAATCTCTTATCACAGTTATGAATATTTTTTAAAACTGGATCATATGATTTTGATTTCTTTCTTAATATTAGATCACTTGTCATTTTATCTGTTTTAAAATTATGGTAAGGTTTTTAATGGCTTCAAGATACACTAAATTGATATACCATCATGATTTAAGTTTTAAAAGATTGGATGTTTGTATTGTTTTACTTGTTTGCTATTAAAAATAACATTGCTGTGAATAGGTGGGTTTTTAAAAAATGCATTATTTTGGGTAGTGATTGATTTTACAGTTTTACTTTTTTGGGGGGGTACTTGGGACCAAACTCAGGACCTTGAGCTTGCAAGGCAGGCAGTGGCACCAATGGGATAAATCCTTAGCCCTACAGTTTTGCTTTTTAAAATGTACTTCTTTCATTGTTTCCTTTGAATGAATTCTTAGAAATGAGATTACTGAATCAGAGGACTTAAGTTTTTTCTTTTTCTTTTCTTTTTCTTGAAATAAAGCCTCACACTAGAGTTCAGACTGGCCTTGAACTCATTATGAAGCCCAGGCTGGCCTCAAACTTGCAGCAACCTTCCTGCCTCATCCTCTTGAGTGCTGGGGTTGCAGGTGTGCACCTCCATAAATTGTTTTACAGGCATACTGCTTAACTGATTTCCAGAAATATATATCAATTAACTCAGGTGAAATAATTTTATTAAGCATGCTTTCCTTGGGGAGGAAGAGAAAATCTTACTTTGTAATTCAAGGCCAATACATTACTGTGATAAAAAGTTTCAAGACAGAGGTTTTTGTTTTCAAATAATCTCTTTCCTCACCTCGCTTGGCTAAGGATCAGACAGGATTTAACTTTTGAGTTGAATCATTGTAAGAGCTACTTGGACTTTTTTCTGTTCTGTGTCAGGCAAAATTCCAACTTATGTTCTAGAAGCTGCTTGCTCTATGAACTAGGAAAACAAGACAAGGCCCCGGGTCTGGCAGTACCAAGGGAAGGAATGGTCGAGGAAGGGGCTGTCTGTTTCACTATTTCCACCTCATTGATAAAATGGAGTGCATCTTAAATCTAGGCACTAAGTTTAATTTAGGTGCAGCAGATTATTGAATATCTTTTAGTTTTCAAAATTGATGGTGAGGAACAGGCACCATGGACACTTATGAAGTCTCCAAATTAGCCTGCTTAAAAGAGAACCCTCATCCTTCCAGTCACACTGCCACCAGCAGTGGGAAGTGTGGCTCTTGGTTGCTTGCAGTAAGTGCTGTGCTTGGGGTAAAACACTGCACTGAGGGAAAAGAGGGAAGAGAGCAGCTGTGGTCATTGATACTGAGAGGTTCTACTGGTCCCTCCTAATTCTCCAGGTAATTCCATCTGGTAGCCTCCTTAACCCCTTGTTTAGTTTATAGCTTTTTACCCTATAAAGCAGCATCTTGGCTTTTTTTGAGATGACTTCTGTAATGACTTGTCTGCTTTCTTCTCACTTGACTCTGAACTCCAAAATGACAGGTACTGTTTCTGCTTTGTACATTGCTTTATTCCAGCGAAGCACAGTGCCCAACACAAAGTGTACACTTGATAATACTCATTCCACTGTGTTGGATCGGTGGACAGTCTAGTTATATCTTGATGATCAGTCCTCAAGAAGGAGAGGAAAATAAAACAAGTTCCAAATTAATCCAGTTTTCTCTATCACTTGTAACTAGAATTTGCAAAGGACTGTTAGTGCTGAGAGGTGGGGGGGTAAACAAGAAAATTTTGAGGGTTTTGATCTAATATGTTACAAATAAAAACATTAGTAAAAAAAGAAATGGCTTATTTTACTACCCCCAACCAAAGGTAGGGGGATAAAATGAAGATAGGAAAGGTTATATTCAGTGTATTGTAAAATGTTTACCTATAACAATTGGTGAGTGTTTAAGGAGTGGAGTCCTTTGGACAAAGATAATTACACACTTTGGTGAGCTCCACAAGGAGCTGGAGTCACGAAAATGTGAAGAGAAGGGGACAATGATGATAGTTAATCTGGGACTTAAAAACATGGATAGTTGACAAAAGGGGAGTGTTCATCTGGACTTTACTCAGCATTGAGAATGGCACTTAGAAAGAGGGCGCCTGGTGTGCCAAACCAGGCCAGCAAAGGTAGCAGAGGTGTCGAATCAGGGGAATCGAGATCGCGTTGCTTTTCGTTTGTTTAAGAAAACCAGATTTCCGCATGGAGCAAAAAAATAAAGTCAGACATTCTGAGGTTTGTCAGCTAGATTTGCTGGCCTGGGACTCAGGCTTTGCTGCTCACTAGCCCCATGCTCACTTTTTGTGCGTTGGTTTTCTTGTCAGTGGGACCCAGAACAAGCTCTCAGAACACGGTGTACACACAGGTAGGTTGCTTCCTGCAGGAGATGGGCCTATCCACACATTATTTTGCCAGTCAGTGGCTATTCTACTGGTACAGGTCGCTGATTTCACTTCAAGCCTCACTGACAGATTTCTGTTTTTAAATAAGCTAATTTCAAGCAAGATTTCAAAATTTAGCAGCACTTGATAACATTTAATTCAGTTCAGAAAATACAGGTATTCAGAGCAAGCTTCATGTTGTGTTCCAAATTCAGAATGAAATCTGGAATTGCCCCAAAGATTGAGGTCCCAACACCCTAAGGATCGATCACTTTGTACAGATCAAAACACATGAAGAATGTTTTCAAGAGATTAAAAACTTTGCCCCCTTAATAAAAATCCTCATGATAATCTTGAATACAGGGCAAGCAAGATAATCGTTCTGGTGATAGAGTGTTTCTCCTCTGCTATAGTTGACTATTCAAGCCTCCTGATTTTAGCAATAAGTAGATACCAATAAACACTTTATTGAATTGATTTTTCCAGTTCTTTTTACGTTGATGTATATTTCAAACAACAAATTTTTGGATACCAGTGAAGAATACTGTTGGGGAAAGTCTTCCTTTTATAACAGAAGGGGTACTTATTGATATTGGGGACCCAGCCCTGGTGACACAGCACCAGGGGAGGCTGAGGCAGGGAAATCACAAGTTCAATCCTAACCTGGGCAATTTAGCAAGACAGTCTCAAAAAAGGGATGGGGGAATACAAGATTTTGCGACCAGTTTAACTTTTGGTTTTATCACTTACAAGCTGTGATTTAGTTAAGCAACTTGTGTTAGTGTTCTGTTGCTGTGACAAATACCTGAGATAAGCAACTTAACAGGAGGGAAGGGTAATTGTGGCTCACAGTCAGAGGTTTCACATCCAGGTCACCTGGCCCCTCTGCTTTTAGGCCGGTGGTGAGGTCGTGCGGTACGGGTACTGATGGAGCAGAGGAATCCTGCGCTCCAGTGTGTGGGCTGAGAAGCCGGGGTGATGCAGGAAGAAGAGGTCCACACAGTGTCCCCACGTCCTCTTCAAGGGCTTGACCCACGCCGCTGGCTTTCTTTGGCCCGGCCCACCTCCCAAACCTGGGCTCTCCCAGCCGAGCGCAGGCGGCTGCGGGAAGTTCCAGAGCCTTGTGGTAGCTCCACTCCACTGCTGTAACTTTCATTTTCTCTTTCATAAAGTCAAATTGTCGTGAGGGTCAGTGATGCCTTTAGTGTCCTGACAAATATTAGCAGATATGGGGGAGGTGCAGAGTGACGAGAGGTTTTCCCGAACTCTGCAGAGAACGCCTCTGGCACCAGGTGCCAGGGCTCTGGGTTTCCTGAAGAAGTCGCCGTCTGCCTGGAGAGGAGGAGGCGCTCGGGACTTGTCTGTTCCCGGTCTGGTCTGGTCTGAAAGCTGACTGCTGGCACTGGGCAGGAGGCATCTAGGTCGGGCCTGTCCTTCACTCATTCATTTATTCTGTTCTTTTCATTGAGGATGCGCTAAATGCAAAGCAGCTAGAAGAAAAGCATCAAGCCAGTGCTGAATGACGGTCAGACAGAGCCTTCCTCTGCCGCTGCGGGACGGGGCGGATAAGGCCGACACTCAGCACCTCCCCGACGCGGGCGATCGCGAGGGCCGCGCTTCGTGGGCTGCCCAGGGAAGGGGCCAGGCTGGCAAAGCCTCGAGGCCTCTGCCTGCGGGGCGCTCAGCAAGCGCTTCGGGGGCAGCTCAACCTCAGTCCGTGCGACCGCTCCGCGATCGCGGGTGCAGAGGCGGCCTGGTCTGGCCCGCCCCACCCCACCCTACCCCGCCTGGGGGGTCTACCGGGCGGTCAG